AAAAAAAATTGTATAGAAAAAGATTCATGGAAGCTCAAATTTAGAGCTAACTACCTGTACAGATTGCAGTTGTTTTTCTTTGGTAGGCCGCTTCAGAATATTATCCCGCCATTTCTCATTATTTTTAGTCGGGGCTACGTTCAAATTATTAATACTAGTTGCTTTTTTCATTCCAATGTCGTCCATCTCCAGGTTCTTCTCGTTCTTAACACTTTCATCCTCGTACACGTTCCCCCGGAAGTTGGGTTTGTCACACACGGATACATAGCTCTTAGATCTCTGAATATTGCTCTTGTCGTTACCAGACTGCCACCTTTGCAGGGACTCCGTTCGTATCTTTGGTTCCAGCTTCTTCTCATTCAGCTGATCTTCTCCTGGTGTTATATTCTTTTTCTCTTGTGGCGTTCCAACACTGAATTCCTTCAGGTTCTTGTCGTCCCTCTCGTTTGAATTGTTCCTGTTCCTAGACAGAGTCGCGAAGGACTTAACGAATCTCTGATTCTCTCTCGACTGCTCTACTTCCTCAAATATATTGAGGTTCTTCTGCTTGCTGTACGTCGTGATCGTAAAGTTCGACAGTGTGTTGTCCACAGGCGCGATTTTCGGAGTTGAGGGATTTGACGACCTCCTGTTGGAGTCCACCACATCTTTCTGGGGCAAAGCACCTATTTTATTCTCCAGCTCGCAAATAACCTCCTTTCTCATGCCGGACTCTAACTTTGGCTGTTTGAAAGATTTCGTCAGCGTGGTGTGTTTTTCTTGTCTGTCTATATTCTCTGTGATCCTCCTTCTGTCTTTCTCGCTCGAATTCGAGATCAACTCGTTAGCTTCTGCATCTCTGAAGGATTCTGACGAGGGCGGAATCACTTCGAAGTTGTCGAAAACAGGCAAAGCAGGGTCTCTGAAGGCACTCGGAGGAGCTGGAAGTTGGTACTCCCAGTCTGTGACGGACAAGTCTTCGTCGACTGCTGATACGTAGTCTGACGTATCTTGCTGAGAGTTTACAGTCAGATTCGGCGAGCTTGTGTTCATGTCAAAGCCTTTGGGATACTCGGTATTCTTTTTGCTCTTCTGATCTGCCTCCTTGGAAACATTTGGTGGCTCTGATTTAGTCTCCGCTGGAGGCACTGGTGTCTCACTGGATGGTAGAGAATTAGACAGAGTGTCAGATACTTTCTGAAGCAGCACATCGGTCTCCGACAGATTTGCGTCTGCAATCGAACATTTTCATAAGTCAGAGGATTGTTCGTTGACACAATCTCAAATTCAAGGGACTATTCTTTCCCTAAAATGATCAAAACTGTGCGAGTAAATCAGAAACGTCATGAAAGTTAGACTCTTTTCTTTTTTACATTCCGCCACCATTTGCAAAACATCAAACGATTTCTCAATCACAGAAACTAATTGGAAATTCAAGTAGACCGTGGATATTTGTGGAAACTTATATATTTTCGTGAGTATAAATTAAGAAACTGGAACTTGAATGGAATATCGTTCATCCGTTAAATATTGAAAAAATATAAGAAATATAAAAATTTTCGATACTCTGCTCAATCTTCGAATTCGCCTCAAAATTCATAAAGATCCACGGTCTAGATGTTAGTATATAAGAAACTACATTAGTAACGATAGGCTGAAGATGCTTCAGATCACTTTCGCAAATCTTTGGCATTGTCATTTGCATTTAAAGTGATCCAAGCATACAGAATTGCTTGAGGACTTGTACAATTAGAAACAGAGTTGCAGAGTTGAGAACGTTAATGATATGCAACATGCACCTGACAAACCCACTGCAACGCAGGATTTTTCTCCACCCACATCTCGAGACTCAGTATCCTGCTCCTCCTCCGGCCGTTGTTCAAGATCTGTGTCAAGCTCCTTTAATTGATCGGGCAACAAATTTGGATTTACATTGAGATTCAGAGCAAACGTGATGTCCTCCGCGTGAGAAGTCAAGTGTCTCTTCTGTCTCTCCAACGTGTTCACTTCAAAGTCGTTGGACTTGGAAGCTGTCCGAGGAATCCGGGCCTTCTTCGGTTCCCACTCTTTACCTTGGGCAAGCGTGTCCTTGACATTCAAGGAAGACAGGTGGTCACACTTTGGCATGGTAGAGATCACAGCGCAAAGTTTCTTCTCTTGACCAGAAACACTCTTCGTCGAATCCACTGAACCTCGTTTGGTTCTCACAAGCGTAGAATTCTGGTTTAAGCAAGCTTCCACATTCACTTCACCCTCGTTTATGTTCAATTCCCTGTTATCATCAGCTTTATCGCCAGTCGAAGAAGCTTCTACATTTACTTTGTTCGATTCTGTTTCTTCAATAGCTCCATCACTAGTTGAAGAAGCTTCTACACTTTCTCGATCCTCATTGATACTCAACTTTCTTTCATTGTTGGCTCTATCATCGGTATTATTATCAGTAAGTTCAGTTTCGTTCTTTCCCTCCAAGACTACCGGATTGTAATTGAAGCTTCTTTCACTCTGATATTCAGGCGTCATGAACACTTCGTCTTCGCTGGTAGTGCAATTGGAACAAACCTCCAGCATCTCTTCACCAGCGACAAAGCTTCCACAGCTGGACTCAATGCTGATCTTTCCGTTGGTGAGATTGGAACTCGCGTTGGTCGTGAAATTTCCAGTACGGGGGTGCGCAGGGACGTTGGGCAAGCAGTCTACATAGCTGAAGTCTGAACTGAGGGTTCTACTCAACGGGGAAGGCGGTGCTAACTTGCGTTTCGACACCTCGGGCCGCACTGCGACGGTTTTTCTAGGCTTGGGAAGTGGAACAGGTTCTCCAACTGTACTCAGAGGAAAAGAAAAAGAAAAGGCCGTCACCAACAGGTCTGATTAGCAAGCAGATGAACGTGGTCACTTCCGAGACAGAAAATTCTCGTGCAATCTTCAGTAGAAAACTACAGTGACAGTGATAGTGCAACTATCTAAAAAAAAGCATGCAAAATGAGAGTGCTACTTCTATTGCACAAGTCATTCTTTCTTTGGACAGTGTCGTGCATTTACAAAAATTGTAACTACTAGAGATCTTACAATTACAATGAAAATGGAGTGAAATAAATGTACGCTTTGAGACGATAGTAATCACTAGTTATATCTTCTGCAGTATACAGTTCAAACTGTATTAATTAAATGATTAATGTACGAACACTACTGGGAAAATGAATTTGTTTTATTTTATTCTACTCCAGTCTGAATTTATATATTGTACAAATTCAGCAATAACGCAGGGGATGGTACAGATTTTCGTAAAATCAATGTTTAAACAAATTCTCCGGCCCTGCTTTCCAGTATTGAATTCAACTGAACTAAAAACCTGTTCCAGTTTTCAGTGGACTCCTCTCGACTGACCAAACCAGGTGGAGGTGGCTCTAGGATACTTAGCTTCTTCTCAGATTCTAATCTACACTCACTGTGTTGGATAATAGGTAAAGAAGGTAATTTATCTACGTCACTAGGAACAGTGTCTATGGTTGTCACTGGAATGTCCAACGGTTTAGTGGAAATTGCAAATATCTGGAGATTACTCAACGGAGGTGGTGACAGATTGGACCTACGGTTGCCTATAATTGAATTCTCGAACTGGACAGTATCTCCATCGATACTGGAAGAAATAGAACCGTTGAAACACTTCGTTGTACTAACGTTTCCTAATCTCGGTTGCTTACTCGATTCAGAAACTCTATTGCCAGTGCTGAAACTCCTGGAGCTCAATAACTTTGGCTTCTCAAAGGTGTTCACTATTCTAGTCTCTCTTAATTTGCAACCTACTTGAAAGCTGGAACTATGCTTCAACGCTCTAGCCTGATATTTGTTCTCACAGGTATAATTATTCACGTGGACTTTCTTAGAATTAAATTCACTGTCCAAGACAGCGCACTCTGGTATGCCCTTGATATTGGTATCTATGTTATCCAAATTAACTAAAGTCTGCATCTTAACCAATCTACTTTGACACTTAAACGAACTCTGATTACAGATATCCTGACTACCGGACAGACTGCGCATTTTGGTCCACTGTCTAGCCCTTGAAGTGGCTACGTTGGAACAAGCAAAGCTTTGAGACTTCTGTAGCTTAGCCTGCGACCTGGCAGAGTTTTTTTTCGACTCTGAAGAACTAACTTTGTATCTAGTGGACCTGTACTTGAAGAAAGAATCATCGAGATTTTCGAACAATTCGCTGTTTCTACGCTCAGCCCTGCACTCCTCGATCTTCGCCTGCAATTTGAGTTTCTCCGGATCGAAGAGGCTCGTACGCCTTTTGACAGAACATGTCCCATCCCCTACGTGCTCAAAGCTGTTCGTGGACACGAAACTGTAGGAAGAGAGGCTGTTATCTATGCTACCGCAGCTGTGCACTAGCTTACCTCTTTTCCACGGCAGTCTAGAATCTACAGGAGCATCTTCTACGGGTGTAAGGTGTCCTGGCTCCGTGCTGGATAACTTAACGTTCACGGATCCGGATCTGTGGCGCGGTTCACGCTCACACTTGTCGCTCTTCGATTCTAATTCCGCTTTAGAGCTGTCTGGCTTGGCGAAATCAATGCTGGAGGTCAGTTTCGAGCCGATCGTTGTTACGCCTATGTCCGAGCTGGCTTTCGGACGCTCTTCTATGTCCGAGTTCGCTTTGGACGAGGCGCCGATGTCGGAAGGAGGCTTGGAAGGATCCATGTCCGAAGTCAGAGACTCCTCGGAGTCGACTATGCGCTCTAGCGCTTGGGTGGAGATGGCGGACGACAAGGGCCTGGTTACTGGCGGAGGAGGTGCAACTCTTTTCTTTCGTAATCCTGGAAAAATTCAAACAAAACTCCTATTTGCGGTGAAACTAAAAAAAAGAAATATATATTGTGACCAAGAGGGAGAAAGATTCAATAGACAATCATTAGAGAAGAAAAAGAATTATCTACGTCTACAATTTGATTTTTTTATACCATTTACAATTTCTTCCACCAAACACAATTCAGGATAAAATTTAGTTAAAAAAAGAACTCTAAGGAGGTAAAAGAAAAGATCTACACCTGTGGAACTCAACGAGGTACTGCTAATTCCGTGACTAAGCGTACCAGGTACGGAGGCCAGGTTGCTCAAACTCTTGCTGGACTGCGACGTTTGAGCTAATTTCCTGGGCATTTCCAATGGGACCTTGTTCCTCCTGGGCAACGTTTCCGGAAGCCTTCCAGCGGAATCTGGATTGTCACTCAACACAGAAGCTTCGTGGTAACCTGAACTATCGCTGCTGTTGCGACTGTGACTGATCACTACCTTGTCCTTGCTAGAGTCTCCAGAGTTTTCTTCTGTACCCTGAAACAGTCGACACCATATCTTCTAATAAATGCTTTCCAAAACACTTGAGATGTCTCTTATCAAAATTGTCTTAATTAAGAATTGTAGAATGTTTATATTGGCATTCAAGAATGTTAATACGCTATCTATCTTTGACAGAATATAATTTAATCACAAAACAGTAGTGAAATAATTCTACGAACTTGGCTAACTTCTGCTTGAGCCTGAGCAGGCGGCTTTGGCGCGGGTCTTCGCTTTCTCTGAGGTCTGGTAGGCGGCTGCAAAGGACTGGTGCTTCTTCCAGTTTCATCGCTCCTTGCCGGTGATGCACTACGTCCTCCGAGACTGTCAGTACTCAACGAACCCTCTTTGGATTTTTTGAACACAAATCCAAAGACACCTTGCTTCGCCTGTTGCCTACGCCGCTCTTCTTGCCTTTGCAAAGCCATTATATCTTGAGTACTGAGTGCTGAGCCTAGCGTTCTGCCTTGCTTAGCATACAAGGTAACTTCCTGGAGATGATAGTCCTGTAGGGACAGCGACAAGTCCAGTGTCTCTAAACTGGCTGTAAAAAAAATGGATTTTTTACTTAATTTTCCTAGGAAATTCTGTTAGTGTAAACGTTCTTTAACGCAAAAAACATCCTCAATTATCCATACCATTTTATTTATTCCTTGTAGAAAATTATATTAAAAAATTTCTATTATGTGCTTTTCTAATAAAAGAGATTCAATAAGAGGACTGTGGCCAATTGCGAACCTCCAAAATCCACAAGAATAAATATATAAAATATAAAAGATATCTATATCTGCAGTTGCTTTAACAAGAAATATTTCATTCAATAAAGAAGATTATTCCTAACAATTTCAAGAAAATTTCCTAATAATTCATGTTTCCCTTAAGAAAAAAAAAAAAGCACCCGTGCAAAGAGATAAAGCCTGGATTAAAAATAATAGAGGCACTTCAAACACTTCAGAGTATTCTATGAACAATAACTTTCCAAAGTAACTCCTCCCATTTGATCAAGTAAATAAAACTGATATTTAAATGCAAAGATTTCCATTAGAAACGCACGCTTCCTCAATTAAAAAGAAACGAACTGCTCCGCAGGAAATGAAAGGAATTTAAGCCTGTGGACCAAAGGACAGATGAATATAATACCTCGCGATATTCTCTCTCGGTCAACAATGATCCTCTGACGTAGATCAAAAACCCTTTCCACCACTCGAGCCAGTTATACTCCAAATGGCGGATTGTCGAGGTGCGGCTTAGCGGCGCAAAAAGAGATTCTTCCAGGTCCAAGGGATCGGTAACAAGTGTAAGGGAGCCAGAGTTTCCACGGGGACGACGGTGGCCGAAGAGCAACGCGAGGCATGCACGCTTAACGACTAGGAGTAACAAGTGGAAGTTGCCGACCGGCAACCTTGCGATAGCGATCTTAACACAACTGGCTCGGTGTAACTAGCTAACTGAAATATCTCGTGCACCGGCGCATAAGTACACGAGATATATAATCGGCGAGTTACCGCCGGTGTTCGTAGTATCGGGAATAGGCTATGGAGGATGGCCGAGCTATTTACCAGCGAATCTGGTTATGTTCGGCTCCCAAGCCGATAATATACAGGGTGGTTCGTTTGAAATTGCCGTTTCCATGACGAAGAGATCACTTCCAAGGTCACCCTCTATTCACCATCGTTTGATTTTTTTTTTAAATCTTCCAGTTGCAGTTGTTACATACATATACCAACTTTTTAAAGCAGATCTAAATTCAAATTGGATTGCTCGA